TGTGTGTGTGTGTGCAGTGCTCTGCCTAAGCTAAGTGAAAAGAAACAGGCGTTCAATGCTTATAAAGTCCAGACAGAGAAAGAGGAAAAGGAAGAAGCCCGAATCAAATACAAGGAGTCTAAAGAGACTTTCCAGCGCTTCCTGGAAAACCATGAGAAGATGACCTCAACCACACGATACAAGTGAGATTTAAAACTGTTTGGATGACAACTTCAATCAATGCCTGTTTAAAAATAACAAAAATCACAATGCAGACCACATACTTTGGGTTGGAGATTTGAACATCCTAGCAACTGTATAACAACACACTAAAATATACTCAGAACACCTTAGCAACTGCATAGCAGTGCCCTGGCAATCACCCCCACATCACTCCAGCATTATAGTGGAGTTTTGCATGCACCAGCACCACTCTCATTTTTAATCCGGTATTACTATAAACAAGGTTAATGTTTTTTCAGCTCTCTTTGGCTGTCATTGATTCAGAGCAGTTGAACTTTACTCCCCCACTTACTTAGATGATTAAAATCATATCAGCATTGTCATGGTGACATGTTGGCCGGCTTAATGATGCTATTGGTGTAAATCTCACCTGTAATCAGGCTTTAAATAGCGGTGTTGTTTTTCATGAGTTCCTGTCTGTACTGTGTCATAAGGTCTCAGAGATACTCTGTTATTAATTAGTAGTTCTATATGGCGTTAATATCCTGTAATATCACTGCCCCTACTAGTAGTAGACTAACTTATGAACTGCAGCAATGTTCGTACTCTCTCACATGAGGGAAATCGTGCTTTATGAAACGTTATGGAAAAAGTTGTTCTTTAAGCAGTGCTTGTTTGTAAGTTTCTCTTGTCTTGTACAGGAAAGCGGAGCAGATGTTTGGCGATCAGGAGGTGTGGTCATGTGTTCCCGAGAGAGACAGGCAGGAGATCTATGAAGATGTGCTGTTTTATTTAGCAAAGAAAGAGAAGGTTTGATTGGCTGATTTTGTTCATCACTGCACTATATATATATAGTTACACTAATAATCTAATAACCTGCTAATTTTTTTTTTTCAATTTAACAATTTAAATGCTGATGTCACTTTCATTTGGATGCATTTTAATATGCAAACTTCAATTAGTAAGCAATAAACCAGATGTGACTGTGCATTACGGTGATTAAGGGAAGTTGTTAGGTGTGACGCATCGTAAAATCACTAACACACAGTGGCTTATTATAATAATAAAACTTTAGCAAGTGCAATACACATTGTCTAGAAGTAATTCCATTTATTAGTAGACAAATCAGTAAATAATTATTCCAAGTAATATAACTCATTAGTTAAACAGTAGGCTGTTTACATTTGCCAACCACTAATACAAAAACAATATTTTTTGTTACATTTAATTTAAAATTCACTTGGTTTGTGGTCACTGGTCTGCATATACAGGTGCATCTCAATAAATTAGAATGTCGTGGAAAAGTTCATTTATTTCAGTAATTCAACTCAAATTGTGAAACTTGTGTATTAAATAAATTCAGTGCACACAGACTGAAGTAGCCAAAATCATCACAATTAAAAGAACCAAAGACTTAAACTACTTCAGTCTGTGTGCATTGAATTTATTTAATACACGAGTTTCACAATTTGAGTTGAATTACTGAAATAAATGAACTTTTCCACGACATTCTAATTTATTGAGATGCACCTGTATAAGAGTATCTCTCTGGACAGTCCATAATGCCTTTTATATTTCTTTTTCTTTTTTTTAAATAAATAAAAATATATACATATTGTTCTGGCCTTGTCCTGTCATGATTGTGGCTCAATGCTTTGTCTCAGGAACAAGCCAAGCAGCTGCGGAAGAGGAACTGGGAAGCTCTGAAGAACATTTTGGACAATATGGCCAATGTGACATACAGAACTACGTGGTCTGAGGCACAGCAGTACCTACTGGATAACCCCACCTTTGCTGAAGATGAGGAGCTACAGAGTATGCACACACACACACACACACACACTGTACTGCCACCTCCACACGATGATGCTTTTAACCTGCATAATGAGAGTGAGTGTGTTTGATATAGAGGAAGCTTTTATCTTCCTTTGTGTCTGTGTGTGTGTTAGACATGGACAAAGAAGATGCTCTGATCTGTTTCGAGGAACACATCCGTGCTCTTGAGAAAGAGGAGGAGGAAGAGAAACAGAAAACTCTGCTGCGAGAGAGACGCAGACAGCGCAAGAACAGAGAGTCTTTCCAGGTGACACACACGTGTGACTCTGTCCTGGTTTGTCCCCTACATCACGTCCAGCTTTCTAATAGGGCTGCACGATATATCGTTTCAGCATCGATATCGAGATGTGCGCATCCACGATAGTCACATCGCAGGATGTGCGATGTTTAATATACTGATCGTTATATTTATACTGATCGTTTTCTTTGCTCACACACAGACACCATGTCTACACCGGACGCGACAGCAGTACAGAGATAACCATTTTTAAATACATTTAGTAGCAGAGCTACTGCAAGCGATTTTCAATCCATTTATCCTTTGTTGAAACTTCGTCGTCGAGGAGAGCGCAGGTCACGGTTGCTTAGCAATGGCAGACACCACGAAAGCGCAAGCTCCCGAGTGCTTTGGAAAGAAGGAGAAAGCGGCGCGACTGGCGTTTTCCACACGTTTTAGGCGTGACATGCGAACGGACCCAAAGTCTGTCTACACTGGACGCGACAAAGAGCTTAAACTTTGTGTCAGTACGTCATAAATAGGAGGCATCAGTATACTGTCGGGGATTTGTCATTCCGCGCCACATCCAGTGTAGTCAGTCAAACAGCAACACTGATTATAATGGGTTCTATTGTATTTTGTCACGTTGCGCGCCATGCCGCTCGCATCTGGTGTAGACACGGTGAGAGCCACGCAGATGCACGTGACCCCTGAATTCAGTTCACTTCCGCTACTATTTGTGCCTGAAATGACACATACGCGCGAAAATATGTCAAAATGCATGTCTCTGCAAGTATCCTTGTAAAAACAGTTGCTTATGGCTTAGGTGAAGGTAAACAATTAAGAATGAAAGAGGATAATATATTCACAGCAGTTTAATGTCTCTGTTGCTTTCTGTGTCATGTTAATCAAACAACAAAACACAGAGAAAAATCACTTTTGTAGCTTTAACACAGATTTATTAGATTTAATTTATACAGTGAAGACTATGCAGTGTTATTTTACATTTGATTATTCAATTTCTGTACCTGAATACTGTTAGACTTGCCTTAAAAATACAAAGCACTGTTTATTTAATTTGTCTCTTTTTGTTCTATTATATCTATCTATGCTTGTAATTTGTTTATTCCTATGCTGATTTACTCACCTACAAAATCACCCCAATCATTGATTACCCCCCCCCCCCCCCCC